ATATCGGGCATAAATGGTTATCTAAATCTGCTTTTAAGCCTCGATGAGTGGATCGATTTATGGATAATCAAAAATTCAGAACAAGTTGCACTTATTGTTGTGATGAGTTTTGAAAAACTTTCTCTAGAATATTCCATAATAACGTTTTTTGCGCTTATTAACAAACTCATTTATTTTGTTATTCATTGAGACAAGTTTCATAAAATAAGTCTAAATTTCCGTCAAACCATCTTCAACTAAAGAAGACCTACATGTATTCATAAAGCAATAGGAAAACGTTTATAAAAAAAATAAAAATATTAAAAAAAATAAACAAAAGAATTATAATAATAATAATGATGATAAAGGAATGAATATAAATACAAGCATAGACACAATAAACACACATTTACATAAATATATAATATTATCCGTATTACATAAGATTTTGCTAAATAATCATTTTCGTTGCGAACAACAATCGTATAGCAAAACGTAACTCAAAAATGGAATACGTAATGTAATGTTAGATGAACTTATGTATATTATGATATGTTTTCTTAAAATGAAAAACAAAACAAAAAAAGATAAGAAAGAGAGTAAAAGGTATATGTATAAACAAAAATATGATACGAAAATAAGTAAACTCACTGTCTTTCGAGAAGAGTGAAGTTATTCGCATTTTGTTTTAAACGCTTTACAACATATTTGATCGCAGCCTTAATCAGAAAAAAAACCGAAAATAGAAATTTAAATTTGAAGTGAAGAAACAAACAATTTGAATGGAAAGATAAAATACACACACACACACACACACACACACACACACACACACACACACACACAAGTAGATCAATTATGCTTACTTCGGGGACACTTGCCTCTTGGGCACTTGCCATGCACGACTTTCAAAACTTGTATATAAAAAATTGGCTCAATCTTTTTCTTAATTGAAAAGAATGCGAAAGATCCGCAAAAAATATCACGATTATGTCTATTGCGATATCTACGATATCTTCTCTATATCCCATTTTGAAACGTCAGATTTTCAAACTCAATTATAATTTAATGCAAGCTCGTAACGGTCATTATTTTGTTGCACAATTCAGAATAACGAACTGATGAGCTAAATAAATAGCTTGTCATATAATAACCAATGCATTTTTTTCGTAATATTATAAAAATAAAATAAAATTGAAATTTATTTCAAATACATTTTTGTTACAAAACTTAATAATCGAAATATTCACTATAACTATCTATGGGTCGTATGTCATTTGTCACGTCGCCTACTCCATATTCGTGCGTCTTTGACTTTTGCTAAGCATTAATTTGCTAAATATAATTCGATCGACTTGAGCAAGCGATAAGCGGAAGGAGCCAGAGCTAGAGCAGAGAAACGTCCCAGCCCAAGTTGAAGATTACTCTCTTAGTTGCTTATGCTCGCAGTAAGCTCACTCTCCATCATCATTATCATTTTTCCTTAAACCCGTCATTTAGTTCGCTTACTCAGGCTTCTTATGGCTTAGATGCAATAATTTCATCGATCTTTAGAAGTTCTTAGTAGATGATTTCTTTTCCTTTCCATTGCATTGAATACAATACAAGATGGAGCTTTCTTTCTAGTCTGGGCCTTCAGCATTGCAAGAGATGTGAATGGTTCTTCTGGATTAAGCGCCATCGTTTTCTTTCTTTGCATCTCTTCATCGCCTTAAATAATTTCTTACTTTCTAGCTTTTCTTTCTTCTATTATTATTATTATTATTATTATTATTATTATTATTATTATTATTATTATTATTAATTTCGCCAGAGAAATAAATTCTAAGACTAAACTCTTAAAAGCACTAGCAGCTAAGGCTATCGGCTTTTATCATTAAAAACTCTACCGCACATGAGATTCGAACCCACGACCATTGACTTGCTAGTCGAGATTCCTCGCCTTCGGCGACTCAGGCGGATTTCTTTCTTCTATATCTTATCAATTGTCTAGAATCGAACTAAAATTGCTTGTCGACTTTTTTCGAATTGTACAACAAGCTCTCTTTCAGTCTACTCTAAATTGCCATTTAGTAAGTTTTGAATTTCTTCAGCCGATTCGTATGATTCGCGGGGACTACTGCAAAACATTCATCGTTCACGAGATTAAAACTTTTTTCTACGAAATCACTCTCAAACTACTCCCTAACTGTTTCATGACTTACTGCATTTGCAGTACAATTTCATTTGCACAAGTTGAGCTGAGTTTCTTCTCTTTTCCGATTAAAAGTGGAATATCTTAACATCCATCGCATTATATTTTAATACATAGATACTGAACGATAAATATAAATTAAATATCGTACAAATTCTAATGTCTAAGCTATGTGTTAACGAAATGGAAAGGAAGCAAACAATTGCACAGCAAAGAGATACGATTTGCAGAATCATTATTACTAAGCCTTGTCGATATAACCAATGAATATATTAATTTTCTCTATATTAATTAAGTAGCAGGTGTTTTATAAGGGAGTAAGGCAAGTGATCAAGAGTGGAAAACAAGTACTTCTTCACTTCAAATCAAGCAAATGATTATAAATATTTACTTATAATTTTTTTAATTTGATCTCGAAGAAAAAATTCACTCTCTATTTTTAGGATAAAATACAAGCGCTATTAATTTAAAGTAAAAAAAAAAAAATTAAAAATAAAAAATACGAAAACAAAATTAATAATTAAATACATAAATATAATAAATGAATGAATGAATAAAATAAATAGTATAAAGTGAAATAAAATAAAATTACCTTTAAGTTTTATAGATAATAAAAACTGATTCTCTTCTACTTTTGCTTTGCTATTCTCGCATATGTAAATTAGTCTTGTAAATATCCGTCCGTTACAAAATTTATGTATGTATGTGCACAGTATTTGAATTTAGAAATACATAGAGAGAGAGAGATAGAGAGAAACGAAAAAGTGCATTTCATTCATATCGATGAACTATGAAATTCCAACTATAATGCAGTGTAAAGCCATTTGAACGGATTAATTAGCTTTTACATAAGCACATCAGTACATCGGCATATTGGTACATCATCTATCACTGCATCATTTGAATGTCAATATGAAATGTGTTCAATGTTTACTAACACTGCTGCAACTCAACAAAAAAAAAAAAAAAAATAAAACATAAAAAAAAAAAAAAAAAAAAAAAAAAAAATTTTTAATTTTTTTTTTTTTTTTTTTTTTTTTTTTTTTTCATAACAAAATGTAAATAATTATTATAATATAATTAAAGAAAAAAAGAAAATAATAATTAAACCTACACACCTACACACACACACACACATACACACGTAAACGAAAAGAACTAATATTCAAGACTTATAACTAACTAAACTAATTGTAGTTAATGTTTTAGTATATAAAATAAATAAACTAAACGAACAAAGAAACAAAATCTAAACACAATTCTACACTATAAGGAAATTGAAACGGACATCAAGTTAATATTAATAATACTTGCTAGTAATGGTAACTAACAATTAATAAAAACAATTTTTGTAGAATTTTTGAATATAACTAAAACAAAAATAACATTATCGTATATTGTAATCCAACACCCCCCCCCCCCCCCGCTCCCACCCTTTCCGCCTTCCCCAATACTCCATTCCATATCCATTAATATAGTGCAAAAGCTTGCTGCAACAGAAAGAAAAATGATTTAAAAAGAAAAAAACGAAATTTATTTCTTCTCGTTTAATTACATTAATTTTTTTTTTAAGACCACAAGCCCAAGGCTTCAAAGATTAATATAATTGAAAATAATGAAAGCAAAAGTGGATTAAATGGGAAAATTTCCAAAGATTTTATTAGACATCTTCAACTTGTTTTACACCTTTTACTTACTACTTACTTGGTGCTATCGCTTCTAATATGCAAGAAATGCGCCCCGATGCAGGCAACACAAACGCCTGTATAAACTGTATAAACATGTTTGAATTAGAATGGAATTCCAATTCTCTTATTCATGTCCGCTTGCCCGGCATTTGTTCGCCCTTGTTATTGAAATACTTCGGCTCTCCGAATCTAATCCAATTAGAAATTGATTCCAATCTACGCCCATATTGGTCTAGAAAATTGCGAGAGGTTTTTATAAAACCATTTTTTTTTTTGAAAAAAATGGGCATGACTGGCCTCTAAATCTGCCGATGTTAGCTGAAAGAGAAATTGACTTATAACATATATAGACTTATAAGAGAAATTGAATAAAACAATAAATAAAAATAAAAAAATATGACGTCAGATATGACGACATTAGACAAAGAAACTCCTTTGTCAGCTGAACTGTGATTTAATCGAAATACTAACGGATGATAGTTCTTGCAAAGGGCTTATCTTACGTTTAAGAAATTTCGATACGAGTTTAAACTGAGACACCAATTACGTAACAGAGAAATTGGAATGCATAACAAGACTTGACGTATATCTAAAGAGTTTTCTACGAAAGTAAACCGAATACGAAACGAGGAGAATGCAGTGCATATGCTTCTTATGATGCCAAAGAATATTGCGTTTTGCAGAATTATGAGTTAGAAACACAAAATATCAGTTAATCCACTGAGTGAGTTTCACAATCGTTTGTTTTTTTTTTGTTTTTTGACGTTTTTAAAGCAGTTAAGCGAGAAGAACTACTTAATAAATCGGATAATAAATCATTTTTCCTATGTAAAAACATCAAATCTCTGTAATTAATTTAAATTTATTATGTTAATATATGCATATGTTTATTGTATACGTATAAATGCAAAAAAATTTTTTATATGTTTTTTATTTCATTTTAATATATATATATATATACATATATATATATAAATATTTTTTTTTTTTCTTGAACTTTGCTTTTATTTTTGCGTTTTATGCTTCATTTTATGTAAAACGATGCTGCTGTGTTCGCTCTGCTTCGTCCATGTTTAAAACAAAAAAAAAAAAAAAACAAAAAAAAATGTTTGTAACAAAAATTCACTAAATCAATACAGTTAACAGTGGTCAGACGCATAATTCCTATAATCCTAGTGCCCCACCAGCTCCAAATAGTGGTGGCGGAGGCAATAGTGCTGGATATGGTGGCGGTTTTTCGGCTGGTGGCCATAGCTTATATCCCAGTCTGCCTACCGACACCAATAGTGGTGGCGTCAGCGGCGGCGCTGGCGGTTATCGCCCCTACGGCGGTGGTAGTAATGGCGGATATCAACCTGGCGGATATCAACCTGGCGGATATCAACCCGGCGGTTATCAACCGGGCGGTGGCTATGTACCCCCCAATCATCCTAGCGGTGGTTACGTGCCATCAGCGCCTGGTTATGGCGGCCGAGGCGGCTACTCTGGTGGTAATGGCGGTGGTGCGGGAAGCGGAGGCTACACTCCATCTAAACCGAAAGAGAAAGACAGCAACGGTTTCTTCTCTAGCTTTTTCTCTAATCCGGCCGTAAGTCAGGCAGTTACTGGCATAATTGCCGGTCAGATTGCAAGTACATTACGAGGTGGTGGTGCGGGTGGTAATCAAGGCATGCAACAACCTAGTGGTGGTTACGGTGGTGGTGGTGCACCTTCCTCTTCTTCGCCTGGCAGCAATTTCCTGGGCGGACTTTTAACGAACGTTTTAACGGGCGCAGGCGGCAGCGGTCACGGAACGCCAAGTAGCAGTGGTAGCAGCGCCAGCAATTTCTTAGGCAGTCTCTTAAGCGGAGGTGGCACTGGCGGAAATCGTGGCAGCAGCTCTGGCACTAGCGGTGGTCTTGGCGATATTTTCAGCTCTCGCAATTTCGGAGGACTTTTCAGTGAGAATCCTTCTTCACGCAGCGGGTCGTCCGGCTCTTCCCAACCCGCTAGCTCTAGCGGTCCAAAAAGCTATCCTACTCAACCCCCTATGAATGGTAACTATTATAATATGGGCTAACGTTATTACGTGTTACCCCGTTATAAGCATAAGCCATTGTTCTATTTTAACTAAAAAGTGTAGAGAAACTTAACTCTTTATTTTCAAACTATTTTATTGTTGTTATCTTCAATTTCTTATAAAACTCAAGCATTCTCTATATAAAGAATTTAGTGCATAAGTTATAATCATTTGGTACGCATGCAAAATATTCAACCTTGTTATACTCTATAATAATGCTCCATTTGATTTTTTCCTTTCTTCTTTTGTGTGATTATTATTATTATTATTATTATTATTTTTCTTCTTATTTTCTTGTTGTTTTATATATCAAAAATTCCAAATAATTCTATAATAAATTAATTGTTAAAGAACAATGCAGTTAATAATTGTAAATAACATTAAATAATATAGAATGATTTAATAAATATAGTGATGAATAATGATCATTAACTGATGAAGTTTCTCATTTCATGGATACAATCAGAAACGAAGTAAGTAAGAAAAAATTTAATATAATAAAAGAGCGTAACCACTACTCGCCCTTTATTCCCAAAAAAAAAAAAAAAAAAAAATCACCTAAAACAGTTTTGATGCGCTCCGATAACGTAATACGATCGCAAAATGCGTTAATTATTGCAGACATTTAATCTAAAATGTTGTTTGAATTGGTTCTAGAGATTATAAAAAGTTTCGATGACACGGCTTAGTAACAAACAATTAAAAAGGGGAAAGACAATGCTTTTAACCTATCGAAGCACTTGATTGGATATGTATATGGCTGGATTGGTAACATTACTGGACATTGCTCACTTAAATATATGAAAAGACCGAGGATATGTAAAGTAGTGAGTCTTTCCATGAGTCGCCGAATAGATAGAAATCGGATCCAAGTCTCAATGCGGTAGAGTTTACTTTGATCGTAGGTATAGGATAACGCCCATCGATTGTGATACAAATTGGCTTATCTCTATCATTCAACAGTGGGTAATTAGTCATATAATAAAAACAAGAAAAAAAGTATTATTAAATTATTATTTAAACAAATTGTTAATATGTATCAAAATAATATCAAAAATCTATTTTATATATATTTAGTTGCATTATTGTTATTATTATATCCATCATGGAAGTTTTGTAAAGCCCGGAAGGAAGCATGAGGGACCCCACAAAATATGTATATTCATGATAAGCACCAAATTCTAGATCGATCTAAGCATGTCCGTCTGTCCGTCTGTGTAAAATCTGTTGTAAACGTTATCCTGGCCGCTATCGACTTCAAATTTGGCAGCACAGTTGGGTATTTTCGAAAGCAGGCTGCTATTGAAAATGAGCCAAATCGCTTGAAGAATACGTCAACAGCACCACGTAAACTGAAAGCATCTCTGTTTTTCAAAAGCAATAAAAAAATGTTGTTTTTCTTATTACCCATAAGCTATAACAACTAAATGTACAAAAATATTCTATCGCCGATGTTGTAGCATTTGTGCACAAAAATGGAAAATATTGACCACGCCTACCCAGTGTCATAATGTATCGAAAATTAATTGGTTTTTTTTCAATATCTTTGTAATGCGCAGAAACGCAAAGCTTCAAAAATCGCAAAAATTATACAAATTCTTGGCCAGTGTCAAATTTGGAGTGAACCTAAACATGCCCGTGTGTTCGTCTGTCCATCCGTAGGTTTGCATAACTTTGTAGTATTTTTGGTAAACACTCTCCCGTTAGCGAAAATGAAGATATCGCCTACAAATTTGCCAAAGAATTTCGGAATTGACCTAAACTTTTCAAAGAACACGCGTTAATTGCTAATTAAGTACCGCTAGGTAAGTAAGTAAGTAATTTCTTCTATCTCTATCTCTTCTTGCTATCAGATGACCGGAAAATCCAAAAGATTTGATATTCGACTTTTCATGCATTCAAGTAAATGCAGTTGGACTTTTAATTTTTCTGTATAAAGCCCATCCATAGGAATACAAGAATATGAGAACTTGATCAATGATGCTCAGAATGCTTGAAGTGTCCTTTTATCTGTCTATAGAAATTATATAACGAATTAGATTTCATTTAACGCACTCGCACTCGCACTCGTTGATACGTAAACATTTTGCTCTTTTTCATTTTCTCTTTTGTTTTTTTGTTTTTTTTTTTTTCAATTCCATATTTATATAGAAAAGACTTTTCCTTTAATTCGCATTTCAAGGACTTTCTCAATCTTAAATTCAATTGATTTTATTGCGAAAAGGAATTGCTTTCTAAAACTCCATGTTCCGCATAAATTTGCATTTAACAGTTTTAAACTTCGCACACATACAAACACACGACACACGACACACCAATTTAAAAAAAAAAAAAAAAAAAAAAAGCGAAATTGCGAAAAATGAAGTCTAACCTACTAAACCAATTTTTGCATTCACTTTATACTCGATAAAATGTATAAAACCAATACTGCAGTGAAGAGTAGCAGGGAGCAGAACAGAAGCCGGTCAAACATATCATAACACCAAAAAAATAAATAAAAAAAAAAAAACAGCTTTCGGAAGCTTTACAAAGGTCAGTAATATCGAAAGCAACAAATGTGTCGCAGAGTGAATAGCAGACATTGTACGGACACAAATGACTTTGTAAATTATGAAACAAAGAGTTTTTGGCCATTAGGGCTTTAAAAATCTCAACTCTACCACAATGCAGTGTGGAAAAGCTAAAATGCTAGGTTGGATGGAAAGTACTGTCGTTTCTTCCACTTAGCTTTTCGGCAAATTTCGCCGTCGCGACTGTAGCAAACGGTAAGACAACAACATATACATGTACATATGTTTTAGGAGAACGCACTCCTGCTTCAACAGACATTGCCCATGAATGCAAATCTATGTCGATCAAACTGGACATTTTCATATGCATTGGATTGGAGCGACACTTTACCAATGGAGGCCAGTTTATGGTTCACGATATCGAGTAAAGTCGATAGGTGGAAATTATGAAGAGTGTGCATCCGTCGATGACGTATGCGTTTTTCTTGGCATTCAATGAAAAATCCTTTGACATATATTCAAATTACCATAAACCCTGCCCTGTTTGCAAGCCATGATGAGTACTTCTTATGAAATCCATAAGGTCCGCCCTTACTGAGTATATTCACTACCATTACGCATTAAAAGTCGAACCGAACGTCTCTAACCTTTGAAAAGGCAATACAAGCTCAAATAAGCCTCATAAGGTCAACCGGCATAAAAATGAGATGAACCAAGAAAAACTGATGATGATGCGGTAGATAGATATTATAAAGTGATTTTAATTGTTTGAAGTGTGAGAAGAAAACTCGGAAAATGCTTTTAAAAAGTTATTCATTGTCTTTAGTATAGTTTTGTTTTCTCTTTCAATTTTTAAAATTAGACTAAGCCACGCAATGACGAGTAGTCGGACTTTAGCTCGCTTAAGCTCTAAACTTTCAATTCTAAAGCACGGGAATTGTTTAAACACCTCTATGATAATGAAATCCATGATAGAGTTATTGTATCCGTCATTTTTTTTAAAAAATGCTTACGGAAAGCAATGTAATCGTACTCCACTTCTACTCGTCATGCAAGAGATACGTGTGACGTGTTAGGAGATTGTCAATACACTTTTCAATTGCATATGTTGCGCAATTGTGTATTGATGGACTATTTTCAATAGTGTTGGTTTTTCGATGTCGGCTTAGTCTCATTTCCTGTAAGAACTTCTTTCTTCATATTCCTTCATTACGCCGATAAATGTTGAGTTCTAACACTACTTAAAATATATAAGTAAATCGAATATTTTCTCACGTTTATGATACATTTGACAATTCTTCCTTCGCATAAACTGTTACGTTAAGCATAACATCGTCTCAACGAATTAGTAAACTGTTCCACGCCAGGCATTCATTCCATTTAAAACATAATAGATTAAAAGTCTTCTCTTCTTATTTATATTCTTATAAAATAGTTAAGCACTTTTCACACTACCGAACACCGAACATGTATATGTATTTGAAATTCTTGGAAAGTCGCTGTTCCAGAGAGCTAAAAAGCTTTTCCCTAACTATGCGAGTGCTTTAATATATGCTGCAGTATGTTGTCTTTTTCAATTTAAACCAATTGACTCAACTCAATTCAAGTTAAGCCGAATCTTGGATAAACATAAGCACATAAGCGGTACAAGTGTCATTGGCTGCGCTTATTTTCATCTCGTATTATTACTATTGGGTTTTTAAACACTTACCCCACCTTTCATGTGGTTAGCGTTGTGTCTCAACGGGCGATAATAAAAAAACTCCTCATAAGAATAACAAAGTCATTCCATGGGATTCCGAAAGCAGATAAGTGAATATGAAGAAAGCATACAAAATTTTATTACGTAAGTAAATCATGATTTCAGTTTTGCAACTCAAACGGCTATTGCTTGAGTAGTTATTAGTGGTTTTTTCAGTCTCAGCATATTATGGAAATTTTGTCCCAACTATCTTAACGCAGGCAATCTATCGAGCTTTGATTTGCTTGATTGAAACTGTTAACGGCGGCCGGTTGAATCAAGTCAAGCAAAATTTCTCGCTGATCCCGCTGGTATCCATCTATGATGATAGTCTTCACCTGGCTGCCCTTCAATAGCGAAAATAGAAAACTTTCTTTCGCTTTTTTTCGTTATGAAGCTTACAATGGAACGCCATCTTGTAATTAAAGTATGCTTTAAACAGAAAATGCTGTAGCAACTGATGGATGCGAAAAAGACGAAGCTTTCCCGCGATATGTTGGAGAAACCAGCGCCACCTTTTAGCAAAATGATGCATTATGGTCTACCAAACTTTCATAAGTCCTTTTATGTGCTTTTTTTACAACTTGAAAAGCTATGCAGCCTATAATGAGTTTGGTCTCTCACCCTATGGCCGCCCTAAACTTAATAAATTATACTAAAATTTTGCTAAAGGTAAAAGGCAGCTTTGACACTCCAAACAAATACATAAGGAATGTGAAATATTTTGTTAAATGCGGGCATGGACCGTTTATGTAAATATCTCTTACAGGTTGGTAGCTACATTTTACGATACGAGCATTGCAGCATTGTGTTTATCGACAGGCTATGCAGC